TTTTGTTCTAGACAAGTGTTTGTAGAGTACCCAATTTGTCCTATTTTAGTTACAAACTTATGAATAAATTATTGTTAATTTTAAAAAGGCACGACAGATCTCTCCAAAATCTGTGTTAAACGAATATCATGTCTTTTACCATGAGAAATCTTAAATCTGCGCGAGTAGAAATAGTCAAGTTATAAGAGAAGAAAGATGCACATCTGCATTTTTTAACTAAAGACGGTCAGCGTTAGCTCTTATTTTACTATTAAACAAGAGAAAGTTACTCTGCGTTTGTTCATGAATCATGCTGTGTCTGTGGCAGCCTGCATACAACTAAAAAGATATAATATAGAATCTAAGCGATTAAAAAAACCCACAAAACCGTGTAAATACATGGGTAGAGATAAATTTCTTACATGGAATAAAAATTATGACAGCTAACACATTCATTCTTAGTGTTTGTGTCGGAAATATGTGTGGACACAATTATGAATGTAAAGAAATCAGTCACATTGTCAGTTATTGCAAATGGTCATAGAAACGAAAAATAAAGCTGGAAAAGTCTGGTGCTGATTCAGTGTCCCTGGAAAGCTAGAAATTATTCTTATAACCCAATTACGAGAAGTCATCCCTATTATTCAGTCAACTTACAAAACCTAGACTTAGCGTTTTAAGAAAAGTAAGGAATTTCTGGAGTGTAACAGATACTGTTCGTGTATTAGATCTACATTGAAGACATATTCTAGCACTAAAATCGATTTGTACTTTTCATAGAGAAACGTCCTGGTAATTTTTATAAACTTTCGAGAAAATATACGAATATTCACGATTATACTAGACACATAAAGTTGTATTTAGAGGAATTACTTCATAGCGAATTGTGTGCCCGATGGATAAAGTTGCAAAATTACAACTTTCTATTATATGCGCAGATACCATCTTTTCTGAGTATCTGCACCAATGCTATGTCGTTCATGTTCCAAAAATTCAACAGATTTTGACGAGGCCTTTTTTTTAATATTGATTTTTTTTCATTCACGCTAGTCCAAAAAAAATTACAATTTAGCATTGCCGACTCCAGCGCGTCTAACGAAATAACCAGACAAGTTACAACATCCGTTCTTTTTTGAGTCTCAAGAGCAGAAATGCATGCTTTGGGTGCACTAAATGAGAATTACCATAAATACAAGGATACACCTTAAGTTGTACGTTGAAAAGTACCAAAAATTAAGTTGGCCCAGAGAGAGCGGTGACAGGAAGCTGACCCCCGTGACCCCGACGTGATAAGGCGCCTGGCGGGGAACCCCCCGCGGCAACTAAAATTCCACTGCCGGTGCGCCGTGACTTAAAATACAAGTTAGCACTTAACAATTTCCCAAACAGTTAAAAGTGTGCAAACTAACAGGTGTGAAAGATTTTTTCCCCCCAGTCTCAGTTGATAAAGAGAGATTCATATTATACTCTGCTTGGTACATTAAAATCCATTATGAGAATTAGATAGTTACTAACTAAAGATAATATTTCAGACCCTCACGCATAACCCCCCTCCCCTGAAACAAACTGACACAGTTACAACCACCTGCAAGATCACTGTCCCCCCCCAGAAAGTCCCTGTCACCACAGCAAAAAACTGTATGAGCCACAGACACTGGGTTGGGTAGGGATGATCTTGAGTGAAAAAACAAACAGAAATGTTTGCCATGAAATCATCCACTGCTGGTCTATATATATACAGACTCATCCTGCCAATTATGATTCCATTTTTACTACCAGGCCACAAAGTCCACACTTTACACTTCACATCACCAACAACACAATTCGAAAGAAGAGAGGTATGAGAAAATAGTGTGGCATGCTCCTCAGGGAGATGAACGTATATAAAAATGATATCAACAAGGAAAAGAAACAAAATTACTTCTGAAAGTCAAGGCCACAGAAATCACAAAAACAAATTTACTAAATTCAAACCACAAAGAACAATCATTCTCTTGAAAAGCAATAGGAGCATTCTCCTTCAACGACAACAAAACGAATTACAAGGAAAAAGAACAGGAAAAGGAAATCACTTAATGACTAATGAGAAGAAAAATGGATGCTGAAGAAGACCACTGCCTGCCTAGATTGATTAAAATCCCATGACTCAAGATGCCTTTAAACACTCTTGATCAATTTCCAAACCATAATCTACTGACCCTATATCATGATGATCTATTCCACTCGTAGACTCCATACACTGAATCAATAAACAGCACACACGAAAAAACTCTTAACTGCACACACGCAAAAACTTGTACTGCACACACATGATTGCCAATGACAGGCTGGGCCTCGGCCAAGCAAATAAGGAGTATAGTCGAGCTGAGAAACAAAGCACAGGCGGCCTCAAAAAGGCACCCTGCTAAGCATAAAACACATGCACTAAATCTGAGCCACTCCTGTTGCATATGTCAAATAAAGGGGTACATGTGGACTGAAAACAAAAGATTACTCTTCATACAAAAAGATTAAGTTCTAACCTACGAAATATACATTTTCAAACTAAGATGACTGAAAACAAATTATACAGTCGAACTTGTCCATGACAACCATCGCTTGCCGAGGAGAAAAGTGGTTGACTAAGACAGGTGGATGTCTTGGACAATGTCATTATGATATCATAAAATAGTAGGGGTGGAAGTGGGAAGTGGTCGTTTGTGCAGGTGATTGTCTTGGACAGGTGGCTGTTAGATCAGGTTCAACTGTACAATGTATGAGTAAAATGAGCCAAATAAATATACAGTGAATAAGATTCCACTGCTTCTCCTCCTATACAAGATTTTTAAAAAGAGTAAATACAAGGCATAATTACAAAAACAAAAGCATAAAAAACACATACAAAATGATTATGATATCTAGCTATTCCTGAGGAGAGAAAAGTCTTCTCTCAAAACACGAGCTTCAATCAGAGACCCAACTTGTAAGTCTTTCAAATGACCTTCACCCCTCCAAAAGTACTTTTACCAGATGCCTTCGTTTATGCACGTATGAACATGTGGGTATGCATAAAAACAACAATCAACTGTTCAAATCTTATCATGATTAACAGCTTTCATTTGTTTTTCAATGACTCTCAAAGAACACAACTCATTAGGACCTGTTTTTGACACTTTAACCTGTTAACTCTTTTGGAATATTGAATATCCTAATAGTGTCTTACAGGAACAAATCCATCCTTCTTCTACGATTATACATTGAACACAGCTTGCCCACACTAGAAAACCCCACAATTACAGTAAAAACTCATAATAACTAAAACGTTTAACCCTTTAACATTTGGCGACCTCAGTGCTTTCTTGTCATATCTCCATTTTTTAAACATTGAAAATGTGACATCTTAAGCTCACTCTTTGTTATGAACCGTTTTCACTGTAATTAAAAATGGAGAGGGGGCTCTCGTGGCCTAGAGGTAAAGGTGTTGGCCTCTCTTTCAAAGGTCCCGCGTTCGAATCAGGGTAGCGACAGAAAACTGTTTTTCTTTAAAATGTTTTCCTTTCATCTCCTTTCCTGCTCTCTAGAAATGTTCTGTCGTCTGCTCTCGTCTCCACTTTTTGCCCCCATCCCCTCACCTCCTTTGCTCCCTTCTCTGGGCTTCTGACTCTTTCTGCAGTCTTTTTTCTGCTTCTCTTGGCCCCTTTCTACTGCTGTCTTTTAGCCACACCCCTGATCTTCTGGTACGAAAGATCTACACCGAGCCTTCTCGGAAAAGGGGGAAAAATCTCGGAGGTCCCGTGAGCAAGTTGCGCACGTTAAAGATCCCTTGGTGGTCTAAAATCAATAAGAGTAGGCTTCCGTGCCATAAAACACTTACCAAGGAAGAAAAATGAAGATACAACAAGAAAGCACTGAGGTCGCGGCTTGGAGTCAAAGAAAAAGCGTGTTTCATAAAAGCCTTCTAAAATATATAGCACTGTCAGCATCACATCTAGAAGGGAATAAAAATTCTGAACATTATTTATGACACTGTATAATCCGTAAACATTTGGCACAAGACAGACTAGTTTCACTAGAAATTGAAGAAAGTAATAAATAAAGACCGGATGAGGATGATAATGATAAATGCCAAGTGGACTTTTTTTCAGTATCAGAAACACATCAACACGATACTGCTTTTATTATTGGACTCACAGGAAAATTAGAAAGACAGAAAAAAAAATCCAACACAGAAATAAAAAGAAAGCAAGACCAGCCAACAAGCTGTTCACATATCAATGCTGTCTGACACAAAGTGGCCTAACCTACGATTAAAATAAAAAAATATTTCACCATGACTCTGAAACATAAAGTTCTTCACCATGCAACGATTTAATCTTATTCTATACACAAAAGAAAAGTGCTATAAATGCTTTCAAATTCTAGCAAATTAGAAAAAATATGGAGTCAGAATCAGACAGTTTGTCCGATCTTCTCTTGAAAAAGTCAATCCAAAGTTAGCCTCTGACATCTACGACTGATGATCTGAAGATGATGGGGAAAATGTTAAAAGAACAGGGTGACACATGTATCGCTGTTCACATACTGGAAAAGATGAGAAGGTGACTTTTTTTCCCACATGTTCCTACTTCAGGTATACACAAAAGTCAACCGAGAAAATGTTGAAAATGTTATAAGAACAGGTTTATGTGAGTATTGTTCACATACAAAAACAGGATGAGATAAGCAATTCTTTTCACAACATACTCACACTTCAGGTATAGGCAAGAGTGTGTAAGTTCCTAACATGGCCCTGGATTTAAGTACACATGTCACAGTTCACCGAGACCACGCCAGCTACACATGGTGATAGCCTTTGTTTTATGTTTATTCAGATGACATGGAAGACAAATAAAAACCATGTTTACTTCTACCTTTATTTGTGGCTTCAACAGGATTGTTTAAAAACCTCAAAATACTGCGTCCTGAGGTAAAAATTGGGAATTGAAGCGCAAATTTGGAATCGGAGTGCATGGTCTCAATGAGATATGTCATGAGCGGTTTACCTGTGGCACGAAGGCTAAGATCTTGTCATGAAGCATGTAGAGCTTGCTGGTAGCCAGCAGGCCGATTTCACTAGATGGGGCTCTACCAGAAAGGCCCATCCTTTTGTTCTTCCCTGAAGAAAGGAAAAAAGAGCGTCTCATTAATGACGCACTGTCCGGTTATACGACAACATTTGAAGACATACCTTTTTGGGGCATTTTAATAAGGAATCATAGCTTCAATATTTGTGCAGAACGTTCAGTTATTTTCTTCATCTAAAATATTTTTTTTTAAAGACAGACAAAAACACACATGCTCTGAAATATGCAAATTTGTGTTTCTGATCGGAGTATGATGGTGTGAAATGTGCCGAAAGATTGCCACTGGTTTGCTGCAGCGTCTTTAAAGAGTAACCGCTTAAACAGTCATTGCAATATATTTTACATCTACTCAGTATATTGAAATATAGTCGAAATTGTCCTAGACAGACACTCATTGTCACGCCGAAAAGTGGTTGTCTTAGATGAATGAACATCTTGAACAGTACATCGGAGCTTCTCCGTCAGTGTTGCAGCTGACCTAAACTGCTTCCTGGGTTGTGTGACTTGACTGTTAACCCCAAAATACTTTAATTGAAAACAAAAACAACCTAAAAAGTAATCAAATTAGATGGATGAGTTGTAATGTATCCCTAATTAGCAGGATAATGGCCAGATTTGGTCAAGATTAGATTAGCATAAGAGGAACACTCAAAAGTAGTTCGGAACCACACGAACTACTGAGTTTTAGAGTGGTTGGATTAAGAGAAGCACATTGACACAATAAAAATGGTGCTGCAAATGAGTAAAACAGACAAAGGTGAAAAGGACCTACCAGTGCACACCCCCCCCCCCCCTGAAAAATTTTTTATTGAAAAATCACAAATATAAACTCTGAATAAACTAATCTGAGCTCCGACAAGTGGATTAGTCAGAAGGGCAAAACAAAAATTGTCAGTGTTGTTCCAGAATCAATGTAGTTATTTTTTTTGAAGTTATGAGAAGACAGCGCCCAAATCAGAACCATAACTTGGGAACTCATCACTGTTCGACTAGAAACAAGGCGAGTAAAAAGGAAAATGAAACAAAACTATATCGTAAGACGGCCCTAGGTATTTTTATTCGAATAACAGCTCTATTAAGAAACCCCCAGAAATTAACTTGGGCGACTGCAGAAAAACACTGACGAGATGTTGTTTTCACAGACCTAACAGAGAATAGATCTTGGAAAGAACACGTGCTGGGTGGATCTGGATCGGAGCTACTTCTGCCACGGTTTGTAGTTCAATGCCATGAAGCGCCATCTTGTCTTGTATTAAGCTGTCTTCTGCTAGCAGAACCACTGCAAAAAGGAAAAAAATTACCTTATTAAACATTTTCAGAGTGTTATGTGGGAGTAAAAGCAGACCCTACAACAACAATAAAAAAAGGGCAGAAGATAGTTTTTCTCTCCGTTGATGTCCTGAGGGCTTTAATAAAAAAAAAAAAAATTATCTTCAATCTGTGCTGATGATTTCTTAAACTGGTCATTTGGAAATGAACCAAAGAGCAGAGCATAATTTCAGAAAAGAGCTTGTTACAAAAGTAGTTTATAAATGTTTTTACGTGCATTATGGATGATCATTTGGGAGAATATACATCAGTGGTAAAGATTAACATCTTGCAGTAATTATCTCACATTTCTAACGAATTCATATTTATGTCCGCTACACAGTTTTAAAAACAAGGAAAAACAACAACTAACATTGAAAGCATGACATTGTGAAAAGAGTTTAATCCCCCCCTTCTTCCCCCAGGTTCTATCCCATACGACAAAATCTGGACAGCATGCAAGAGCATCCATCCCTTCCAAGAACCAAGAGAAGAACTAAAACATGCCATCACAAAATGGAAAAGTCAATGATCCCAGATAGTCCATTATTTTGCTATATGAAACATACAACAATATCATTAGTGAAAGAGCAAAACAAAAAATTTTTGAAAAATTTGACAAGGTCACTATAATAATTTGATTGCAAGAGTATCGAACAGTCAAGGGGCCTTTATTTATTGTTAGCAAGCTGTTCAAATGTACTAAGCCCAAAATGTTATAATTGCTTTTTCATCGCAGTTTCTTTATCTGTGGTATCAGTCGCATGTACAAAAAAACCAACATCTTATCGAAATTCAATTTCCAATTGTTGAAAAAAGCAAAAAAGAATACATAAAGTAGGTATGATTTTTTTAAAAGGAAAAATGAAATAGCTATTTTGTTTCCAGGGCCGACAGGTTTCTCTTCAAATGTACCTTGAACTACAACATCAGGTTTTGTTTCTGTCACATGTCTTCTGTTTAGTGGGTCCAGCTCCCCTGGTGAAAGGAAGCCCTGGAGGACAACAAAGGGCACATGAGCTCCACATAAATAGAGCCAAAGAAAACTTGCACATGTTCAATGGTCACTAAATATGATACCATAATAAATGGGGACAAAAGCAGTAAAGATGAGAGAGAGAGAGAGAGAGAGAGAGAGAGAGAGAGAGAGAGAGAGAGAGAG